TTTTTTTGTGGTAATACTGTAGAGACAGCAGTGCTGTTAAAAAATGGTGAACAAAGGTTGGGGTTTGGCTATGGCATTGCATATATGAAAAGGATCTATTAAAGAGAGATGGTGACCTAATAGTCTAGCATTATAAATGACTTCAGCACCTTGGATAGCTGAAAACTGATGCATTCACTGGGGTTGAATTACTACCAGCAAATAGGATGTTCACTTTTAAAGGAAAGCTGCACTTGGCGAAGGAAGTTTTCCCGCACAACTTAGTGAATGTGGTAGGATTGCACTTTTCAAAAATATCTAATGACTTGAAAAGAAAAAAATAGAAAAACATTTTTATTTACCTGCACAAGATTGATGATAGTCAGCAGTCATCCCACATACTACATATGAGATAACAGCCCCCCAAAGTGTGCAAGTGAGCATTTTAGGATTCATTGAAGAGTCCAGTGAACATGTATATACATCAGTCCACAGGTCAATTTTAATTTAAGAAGATGACCTCTAAACTGATCGTTAAGGCTGGTCCATGCAGTATAGTCTTAATAATAATAATAATCCCCATGTAGAAGGGAATGTTAAACCTTATAATACAACTAAACGCACAGTAATAACTCACAGTAGTAGTAGCTGACACACAGATGCAATCTGAGACATCAAACACAAGTGATGGTCATAGACAGGACAGATGTTCAGACAGCCAGAGGAAAAGATAGATGTATTTAGATGGTATCCCAATCTTCTTATGTAGTACCAGAACCCAAACTTATTTCATCTTGAAGTCTACAAAATCCTATTACAATTTCAGTTTTAAATCAGGTAAACCACTACAAGGTACATCAAACAAAAAGCTTTAAATGTCTTAATTTTTTTTCTAAAGTAGCTACAGTCTGAGCAAAAAAGCCAGTCCCCTCCTAGCAGCTGCAGAATGAGACTCTTGCTCTCTCTGGGGAAGCAGTGGTCTCTCTGCCAAGGTCTGATATGCTCCCCACTGAGTCATAACTCAATGCAAACTAAATCAATCAGCAAAGCTCATTCTCCCTGCCAATTGGAGAGCTCTGGCCATGGCTAAGCATTAGGCATGCCAGACCTCTGGAAAGAGATCACTGTTTCCCCACAGAGAGCAAGGGTCTAACTCTGAAGCATGCTGGCAGGACATTGACTGCTCTACTCACATTGTGGCTGTTTTTTTTTTTTTTAAAGAAAATTGACTTTGCACAGTATTTATTTTGATACACCTTGAATGTATTTAAAACATTTAAACTAAAAGTTCATCTTGGCTTTAAGATCAACTCCACTTTTCCCTCCACCCTGTGCCTCCTTCCTTGGAACCCCCTACCCCACCTTTAAAAAAAAAAATCATATTGTATTTACCTATTTTTCTGCAGTCTTCAGCACCCTGTTGTCCAACATCACTGTGGGCTCAGGCTGATATAATAATGGTGGCCCAGGCTCACAGGAAGTGGGTTAGATGATGCTGGGTGAAATTCAACTTGGGAGAAAAGCGCTGCTGGATCAGGGAGTGCTGCTTTTGGGGGTCTTTGGGGGTCTGCCCTGGAGTGTATGTATATGGGACACCCAAAGTTTTTCTTAAAATGCTGGGCTACCAATTTATTTATTTATTTTCTAGCAAACAATTGATTTGGCTTTAAAACTGGGCTTTAAAATATTTGTAAACCCAATTACTAACATTTCATATAAGTGTTAACATATTAACACATTTTTTAATTTAAAAGTCCTTTTCAATCTTTCAAAATCTGCAGCTTTCATAAAAATAATATCTGTGATCTTGTAAATTGTTAAAGTATAACTAAAGACAAAACATTTTTTTAGGTTTTGGATATAGTCGAGAGAGATTAGAACACCTATTAGGCTTTTATTGCAGACTGTGCTCCTGTTCGGGAGATTCCCCTCTGTTTGTCCTATTTACCATTATTGTTGAAAAAGTACAAGAAAATCCCAAAGTTTGAGTGTTCTCCAGAAAAGTAATAGAGAGGAAATTTTTCAATTAGTTTACAGGTTATGGTGACCTGGGGGCCCAAGGGATTCCCTTAATTTGCAGGGATATCCTCTCACTTCCTGTTTTGGCTATGGGACAGGAAGTGATGATAGATCTCCCAAATAGAGACACAGAAACAGACAGGGGTTAAAACCCTCCCTTACTCAATCCAAAATTAAAAGAAAATGTCTATAGTTCTACTTTAAAGTGGTTGTAAGGGCAGATTTTTTTTCCTTCATGTATCCTTTGCATGATGGAAAAAAAACCTTCTGTGTGCTTCTCCCCCCACAGCCCCCCAATACTCACCTGTGTCCCCTTTGATCCAGCGATGTGCACAAGAGCTTCAGCTGTTCCGGGACTTCCTCTCCTCACTGGCTGAGACAGTAGCAATAACCAGTGAGCCAATGTGCAGAGAGCGGGGGGAGGGGCCAAGCCATGGCTCTTAAAGACACATAGAGCCAGGTTCAAGAGCAAGCAAGCACCAGTGCCCCCATTGCAAGCGGCTTGCTATTGGGGGCACTGGTGAAAGAGAAGGAGCCAGGAGCACTGACGGGGGACCTCAGGAGAAAAGGATTGGGACTGCTCTGTGCAAAACCAATGCCACCACTGCAAAACCTTTAATACCACTTTATCAAACACCCCAGATTCCACCCAATACCATCTTCATTTATACCACCATCAAAAAAACGTTGAAACACCATCTTCACTAAACTGTAAGTAAACCAATTTTTTTTTTATTTCATTCATTTTAATTTTGCCATTTGTGCCTCATCTGAGAAATTTCCCTTCACTTACTGTTCTGGAAAGTAAAAGGAAATATTTTCCAAGGATAGTTAAATCTTCCTTAAGACAACTATCACCAGAACAGGAGTATCTTTTGAAAGATTTCCCCTTTATTCTTGTTCTGATGACAAGTCAAAATTTTGAATTCTCCCTCAACTTCCTTCCTGGTGACAGTGGTCACCAGTATGAAAATAGAGTGTTAGTCCCGTTTTAGACGGGGCCAACCTGTAATGGGATCCGTTTGCTCAGCAGGGGATCTCTCCGCTGATCCTCACTAAGCAAGCAGATGAACCAGCTTTTTCCAATGGGGCAGTCAGATAAAAATGGACTACAGTCCATTTCCACCTGACTGTCATCCGATCCGATCCGCTGGATGGATGGAGAACGAATCCCCATCCATCTGTTTTTTGGCATACAGGATCATATCAAATGCCGGAGGGGGTGTCAGCAGACAGTTGTCCACTGACACCTGCTAGTCCATAGTGATCTATAGATGGGCCGATTTGTTCCGCGTGAAAAACTGACAGGTGGACCCGATCGGACCATCAGTGTGAAAGGAGCCTAAGTCTCCCTAGACAGAGAAAAAACAGGATTTATAACTCTACCACTATATCAAAAACGAAAAATTTTAAATTTTAAAATGAGTTACCTGTGAAATGTAATTCATATGCCGGGCCCTGCCATGGGCAATAATGGCCACACTGGGTGCATGCAGTGATCATACAGTGGTGATATGTACAGTACTACACTGAATGGTTATGCTACGCAAATGCATAAAGGTGAGTGCCCAGATAGATAAATGCAACCAACCATCAACAGTATCTTTCTACACTGAGCAATGATGTAGTGTTGTTGGTAGGTTGGTATGATCTTCTCAGTTGTTTTTACAATTGAAAAATGGCTGAAATTACAATTGCCTGAGATTATTTTATTGCCAACCATAAAGCTAAAAGTTTTTTTTTATGTTTTTATTTAGAATTCTTTTCTATCTCAATCCTCCCAGATCATTGCAGGCATTTATAATAACTAGAGATCAAATGCGAAGAAGTGGCCTCTTTAAAAGCTGCACAAATAAATATGTTTCAAATATCATCGGGTAATTTCGGTAATTTCTTTAGCTGTCACAAAACATCTCTGAGGACCAAAGGAAAAAAAATGCTCCTAACACTGTGCTTACTGATGTGTAAAAACATCTGTGTTGAAACAAATAAGCAATTACTTTTTCATTCTTATTCAAAATGCAATGACATTTAGTGCCAGCGATGTTGAGAAAAAAAAAATAAAAAGGCAGAATGACATTCAAGAAGTCATTAAGAAATTCCTCGCCAAGGAAATTCACTTAAATTTCAAGTTTAAAGTTGAATCCATAACCCTGTTTAATTAAGTAATCTTCAGCTCAATTCACCAAGCGCTCGTGATTCCCGACTCGCTCTGCTCGAGGGCTGCTAAGATTTTTAAAATTTCAGTTTATTGCCTTTTTTGGCTTTTCTGCCTTCCCGTCTCATACTCCAGGCAAAAAAAAAAAAAAAACACCTGTTATTAAATCCCTACAAGGGCTTGTCTGTAGTAAAGAGGTTGAAAAAATAAAACAGAACACGTTGGGAGAATTGTACAAGTGACATTCCCCGAGGACACGTCAGGAGCTGAGGGAGTAATCTTTTGCGCTCTGAAACAGCAGTTGTGGCTGTCAGTGGGATCCGATGATGTTCTCTAGTTATGACTTTTGTGCTATTTGAAACTGTGTGTGGGAGAAGAGAGAGTTGAAATTACGCTTCCATAGATGCAGAAAACTCGGTGACAGTTCCTGGCGTCAAAGTCTTGGAAGAGAGAAGCTCGGGGAGAACTTATTTTATTTCACCTAGTAGATTGCTACAAGAGGTGATATCCAGTAATTGCATTTCTATTCCTATTTTATCAGTGGAAAAGTACCGTGTTTGCCATAGATTATTACTAAAAATGTGAAGTTAAAGGGACATTGGCTAATTTAAAGTATAACTAAAGTCAACATTTGTTTTTGTTTTTTTTTTGTTTAAATGGTGGCAGAGTATAAACCCTGTTGGGTTTTTTCTTACTTTGTAACAAATTCATCCAGCACCGAATCCTTTTTGTTTCCACTTTTCAATTGTTGTTGGCTACCATGACACCATAAACCAACCAATACAAGAATAAGCCAATACTCAACCAACAAATTTACATTATATTCATAAAAGCATTGGGACAGCCCTCCAAGTCATTAGATTCAGGTGTTCCAATCACGTCCATGGCCACAGGTGTATAAAATCAAGCACCTAGGCATGCAGACTGCTTCTACGAACATTGAAAGAATGAGTCTCTCTCAGGAGCTCAGTGAATTCAAGCATGGTACCGTGATAGGTTGCCACCTGTGCAATGTCTGTCCATGAAATTTCCTTGGTACTAAATATTCCACCATCAACTGTTAGTGGTATTATAACAAAGTGGAAGCAACTGGGAACAACAGCAACTCAGCCACGAAGTGGTAGGCCACATAGAAAGACAGAACATGCTGAAGCACACAGTGCGCAGAAGTAGCCAACTGTCTGCAGAGTCAATAGCTAAAGACCTCCAAACTTCATATGGCCTTCAGATCAGCATAACAACAGTGTGGAGAGAATATCATGGAATGGGTTTCCCTGGCTGAGTAGCTGCATCTAAGCTTTATATCACCAAGTGCAATGAGAAGCATTGCACTTGTTGATATATGGTTACACCATTGCAGTGGTGTAAAGCACGCCGCCACTGGACTCTAGAGTAGTGGAGACATTTTCTCTGGAAGGACAAATCACGCTTCTCTGTCTAGCAATCTGATGAACGTGTCTGGGTTTGGAGGTTGCCAGGAGAATGGTACTTGCCTGACTGCATTGCGCCAAGTGTAAAGTTTGGTGGAGGGGGGATTATGGTGTAGGGTTGTTTTTCAGGGATTGGGCTTGGCCCCTTAGTTACAGTGAAGGGAACCCTTAAGGCATCAGCATACCAAGACATTTTGGACAATTTCATGCTCCCAACTTTGTGGGAACAGTTTGGGGATGACCCCGTCCTGTTCCAACATGACTGTGCACCAGTGCACAAAGCAAGGCCCATAAAGACATGGATGAGAAAGTTTGGAATGGAGGAACTTGACTGACCTGTACAGAGTCCTGACCTCAACCTGATAGAACACCTTTGGGATGAATTAGAGTGGAGACTGTGAGCCAAGCCTTCTCGTCCAACATCAGTGCCTGACCTCACAAATGTGCTTCTGGATGAATGGTCAAACATTCCCATAGACACATTTCTAAACCTTGTGGACAGCCTTCCCAGAAGAGTTGAAGCTCTTATAGCTGCAAAGGGTGGGTAACTCAATATTGAACCCCATGGACTAAGACTGGGATTCCATTAAAGTTCATGTACATGTAAAGGCAGGCGTCCCAATAGTTTTGGCAATATAGTGTATCTCCCAATGGACCATATGGATCTCATATTCCTCATCGGAGGTCCTGAAGAGCAGATTGCGCTCATCACAGAACTAGCAAAAATTGTTTTTATTTTTAATTTACACCTATCCCCTCATTTAAATTTGAGCCTTTTTTGCATTTTTTTGTTCTTTTTGCAGAAATGCAATACAGTCCATTTAACATGGTTTCCTATCAAAGATGTTCACATCTATGATTTTTTGAACTGCTACATTTTTGGAAAGGCTCAGGGACTTTTTTAAAAGCAAAAACCAAGGTTTTTGCTACAATAGAGTTCAATGGAGAATCTGCTGTAATGCATGGTACTGCGTTTTTGCCACTAACAAAAAAAACAAGAGTTGAACGAAACGAATGTAGAAAACACAAAACAAACTGCAAAAAGCACTGGAGAAAGCATCAAACACAAAATGCATATAGTGAACCAAGCCTTACACTCTCTGCACTCAATCCTTGTACTACATCAAGGTTACCAATTTGAGGTAGAATGTAACGTCTGTTGATGAAGGTCCAATCTCACGTTCTGTCATATATTATTTTTGCAAGTCCCTTGACGTTCAAAAAAAATAATTTTTGGATAAACTCTGTATTGGTTATACATATGTCTTTGTATTTTTTTTTCTGAGAAAAAAAAAATTTATATATATATATATATATATATATATACACAACATTATTTGCTGTTTGTTTTCCTGGCCCTTCAGGTCTGGTATGGGTTTTAAGGGGAACCCCGTGCCAAGTTTTCTTCTAAAATGGCATAGGGTCCCCCCCAAAATCCATACCAGACCCTTATCCGAGCATGCAGCCCAGCAGACCAGGAAAGGGGGGATGAGTGAGCACCTTCCCCCCCCCCAACCATACCAGGCCACATACCCTCAGGGTGGTGTGTTGGGGGTCATGCTGGGTCAATGTTCTAAAGAGCGGCGGAGTCAACTGGTATCATCTTTGGGTGGCCCCACCCCTTAGTTATTTAAGAACTGTTAGACAATGGAGTTGTCAGACAGCAGGAGCCTTTCTCAGGTTCAGAGCCTTTTTTTTTTGGTGGGGGGGGGGGTCGGCGGTCGGCTTGCATTGTGATTGAGGTTGGATCTACTTCGGGGGACATTTATTTTATATATTTATTATCCAGGACTTGTCAAAAACTGTTGTGTTTTTACTCACTTTTCACATTTTTGTGGTGAATGAGTAGGGGTACTATAATATATTCATTCACATAAGGGGGTCCCATGTTAAAGGAGGCTTCCAGATTCCGATAAGTCACCCCCCGCACACCCACAACCGCCAGGCCAGGGTTGTGGGGAAGTGGCCCTTGTCCTTATCAATATGGGGGCAACGTGCTTTGGGAAAGATCCCCTCTACCCAAAAGCACCTCTCCATGTTTAAAGGTCTGGTACGGATTTTGGGTTTATAAGGGTCTGATGGCCTGCCTCATTTCTTGAGGCCCTTGATATGTCAGGACAGTACAAATACCTCCCAAAATATCCCTTTTTGGAAAGTCGACAGCCTGAGGTATTTATTAAGAGGCATGGCAAGTTTTTTGGAAATTGTAATTTTTTTGTAACAATTTTTTGGAAAATGAAGTAAATACATTTTTTTTTCCACAACTTTATTTTTTCTTTAACGTAATGTCACCAGCACAGTACATGATATGACAGGTGTGGCGGTGATGATGGACACTGACTGGTAACAATATTTGAAATATTTTCTTTAACATTGTTTTTAATTTTTTTACTATTTATTTTTTAATACTTTTATCTGAGTAGTTCAGTGTGTTACCATAGTAACACTGTACTACTATGGGTTGATGATCAGGTATTTTTTTTCTTTTATTTGATTCCTGATACGAAGATCATTGCACCAACAATGCATTAAACTGTCATGAATGGGTTAAATTCATGACAGTTCAAAATACTAGGGATCTGTGTTTGGCTACATCATGCTATAGAGTGCTGTAATTGGCCCAGGTACCATGTGACAGATGTGGGCCAATCACAGCTTACTAGTACCAGAAGCAAAGCTGTTATGACTTAAATTATTTCATAACAGCTTTCTTGACATTGTATCATGTAATCACATAATCACCCAGAGGGTCCAGAGTACCGGGATCTGCGTTTTGGATCTGCGTTTTGGTGTGTCCACAGGACACCACGTCCTCTACATCGCTACATTACATCGCTTTTCCTGTACATGCCACCCGCACTGGAAGTGCTGTGGGCGGTCGGCAAGTAAATCCATATACTCGCTTTCCAAGTTGATTAATATTGGATGCATCTAATTTCTTATAAATAGGTACAGTGCTCAGTGTAATTGAATACACCCCTTTTGAAAAGTAAGATTTTAATCAATATCTCAATGAACAATTTCCAAAATTTTGACAAAACTGAGTTTTATAGAACATTTGGTTAGCTTATCACATATAAGTAAGGTTAATAATATAACTTAGATTACAAAATCTTCAGTTTTACTCAAATGAGTTGATGCAAAAATGAATACATCCCACAACAAAAACTACTACATCTAGTATTTTGTATGACCTCCATGATTTGTAAGGGCAGCACCATTTCTTCTAGGCATGGAATTGGCATTTGCAACATCTATCTTTTTCCATTCTTCAAGAACAACCTCTTTTAGAGCCTGAATGCTGGATGGAGAGTGATGCTCAACTTCTCTCTTCAGAATTCCCCATAGGTGTTCGATTGGGTTCAGATCAGGAGACATACTTGGCCACTGAATCACTTTCACATTATTCTTCAGAAATGCAACAGTGGCCTTAGATGTGTGTTTTGGATCATTGTCATGTTGGAAAAGTGCACGATGAGCAAGGGCACGAAGTGATGGTAGCATCTTCTCTTTCAATATAGAGCAGTACATCTGTGAATTCATGATACCATCAATGAAATTCAGCTCCCTTGAAACCAGCAGCACTCATGCTGACCCACAGAAGGACACTGCCACCAACATGTTTCACTGTAGGCACCATGCATTTTTCTTTGTACAGATCACCTTTGCGATGCCATACAGTTTTGAAGCCATCAATTACAAAAACATTTATCTTGGTCTCATCACTCCAGAGTACAGAGTCCCAGTAGTCTTTTTCTTTTTCAGCATGGGCCCTGGCAAATTCTAGGCAGGCTTTTTTGTGCATGGACTTTAAGAGAGGCTTCCTTCATGGACGACAGCCATGCATGCCATTTCTCTCCAGTGTATACCATATTGTGTCACGGGAAACAATCACCCCAGTTTGGCTCTCTACTTCTTTAGCTAACTGCAGTGCACTTGCATGGAGATTTTCTTCAACCCTTCTCATCAGAAGATGCTCCTGTCAAGGTGTTAACTTCCGTGGACAGCCTGGACGTCTCTGTGAGATAGTTGCAGTTTCATCTCTGTTAAATTTTTGTATCACTTTTGCTACAGTATTCTGACTGATACGTAAAGCTTTGCTGATATTCTTGTAGCCTTCACCTTTCTTGTGTAAAGAAATTATTTTCTTTCTTAGGCCTTGTGACATTTCTCTTTCATGTGGTGCCATGGCTGACAGCATGAAATGGGAGGGGTTTTCTTTGTTAAGTAACGCCATTTTATAATCAACTGTCTGTTGGACGCCTGTTTAATGAATAATTAGATTCACCTGTAGTTGAATCCTTGTAATTAGGATTTTGTTGTTTAAATTTTAGTTTTGCTCCTAAGACTTTCATCGGGGAGTATTCATTTTTGCAACATGCTTTTGAATGAATTTGTTAGGAACTTTTTTGTGTGTGCAATTTAACAAATCTTGTTTTCAATCAATGGCCCACATTTGTGGGAGCATTTTGTAGCAAAGCATGTCATAGAAAATGTTGATTCTGAAAGGAAAGTAAAGGCTTTCTGACAAATACTTTGTACTTAAAGAGCTCTAGCAGGGGGGTGTCGGACCTTTTCAGTGAGATCACTGCTTCCACAGAAAGATCAAGGATCGTTCTCTGCAGCATGCTGGCAGAGGACAGGCTATTAAACTCAGGCTGTGGCTGCTTTCCAAAAAATTGTAAGACTATGCACATGT